TATGAATTAGAAAAATCTTCTTCTAAATATATATATATATATATATATATATATATATACTGTATATATTTCATGAACATGCTTTAAATAAATCTGATAGAAATTAGCATAATTTAAATTACTCACTGAAAATCATTCCGCCATTGTGCTCAAACCTCATTTGCATTGCATATTCAATTATGATTGTGTGCGAGGTTTGATGTCAGTATACAAAAGAGTTGCAGAATAATGTGAATAACAGCTGACATTTCAGTGTGCTGTCTGTTATCGGATGACTTCAGCATGAAACATGAATCATAGACTGCATTTATGAAACTGTTATTGTGTTATTTGTCCTTGACAGGTGACCATATGCATTTCAAGAAAACAGAAGACTGACATTCTGTAAATATCTCCTTTTGTGTTCAATGGAAGAATCACAGAAAAGATGGTGAGTTGTATTTTCATTGTGAATGCCCTGTTCCTTTAACATTCGCTAAGTGACGGTTTACTTCCATCATTGACTCATTGACACCTGCCAAGCTGTGAGATGTGTTACAACACTGGCTTTATCAGACAGGCCTTGCTGAGGAAGGATTCAGACTGAGAACAGGACAGACTGAACTCTGGCAGTGTGAATTAGCAGTGGCTTTTATGGATGAATTCCCAGAGGGCCATTAAGCATCAGCCTTTTCTGCGTTAGCTGTGCAAATGCGCGGGTTACCTACACACAAATGGATCTGTGCTTCTGTAAACTTTATTAGAGAACGTATGGAAATGACAAACAAAGCAGGCTGCAATTAATGGATATCATCTTTTATTTTTCTCAAACAAAACCTTGCGAGAAGCTTGATATTTATTTGAACAGGCAACCCCGGCTATAAACCTCTGCCAAAATAAGAACGCCCATATTTCTATTAAAAATACCGGAGAGTGAATTTCATGGGGCTTATGTGTTCAGTCATGTACAAAGGGACCTGTATTAAGGAAGTCTCCTGAGGCGTTTTGTGGGTAATGTGCTCATTTGAGATTGTTCCAGACCTCACGGACAAACCAAAATGCCAGCCTTTCACAATACAGTGGCTTTACGGTGCAAAAACATAAATGTTTACTTTGTGTAATGACTGAACAAAGCCATAAAGAGTGTGTAAATGAGCATTATGGTTTTGTGAGGTTGCAGCGGCACGGATGCGTTTACCTGCTCTGATGGAGTCAGTGTGTCTGGAAACACAAGTAATGCCTAATGAGAAATCATCATGGAAATAAGTATGCAATAAAGCACTCGAGGCTGTGCATTACCGGGATTTTACTAGAGGTCTGAGTTCATTTTTGGTTTTATAAAACAATGGCAACAGTGGTATTATAAAAGACACCAATGTGCAATGAATAGTGCAATTATTTTACAATAAATAGTATGTGCTGAGAAAAGAAATAGTTTTAAATATGTCAAAAATAAATGCTTTTGTGGTGCACTCCTAAAAAACATGGCATTACCGTGTTCAATCATCATGTTATTGTCATGGTACATGTCTGTATATACTGTTATATACTATTATAGGGTTTCTTATTATTTTTAATTCGCTTTTGTTTATATATATATATATATATATATATATATATATATATATATTTTTTTTTTTAATTTAGATTACGTTTTTTATTTGATCTAATTATTCAATAATTCTACTTAAATATATTTTAGTTAGTTGCCAAGACATTTTCTTTTTTATTTAAGTTTTTAATTTAACATTTTTTAAATTGTATTTCAGCTTTATTTCAATTACTGAAAATTATTTTTTATAAAAAAAATATGGTGTTAATATGTCCAAAGATAAATGCCATCATCATGGGACACTTCCACAAAAAACATGGTATTACCACGTCCAATCATCATGGTATTACCATGGTACATGGTTTGTGTTTTTATATCCTATTATTGTATTTCTTAATATTTTGAATTAACTTTTAGTTTTATATTTATTATAAAACAAAAGTTTTTCTTCTAACATTTCTATTTTATTTTAATTCAGCTTTATTTTTTAATTACTGAAAACTTTTTTTTAAAGGAAATATGCCATTTTTATTTAAATATGCCAAAAATTAAATGCCATTATCATGGTACACTTCTAGAAAAAACAATAACAACAATGTGTTACGCTGTCCGAACATGTCAATGTTATTTATGCTATTACAATATTTATTAATATTATAAATTAAATTAAAATTAATATTTTTGAGTTTTCATTTTAATTTGAGATTAAGTTTAGGTAATTTATTGGTTTTTATTTTTTGATTTCTACATATCTGTAATTTATTTTCATTTCAGTTTTAGTAGTTAATAGTAAACTTTATTAGTAAACTTAATTTATGTAGCTGCCAAGAACAGATCTAATTTTGTTTGCATTTTGTAAATGAAGGTTTTCCATCTGACATTTATATTTGATTGTATTTCAGCTTTTTTTTCCCAATTACTGAAAATATATTTTTTATTTTAGTTTTAGTTAACAGTAACAGCACTGTCACTTGTCCATAAACTCATGATAATGTCATGCTAATTCAAAAAATTTAAATTAAAAGGACCAAAAAATACACAAAAAGATTATGGGTGATACACACAGAACAACCTGATGGTGCCACATTAACATTTAGCCAATCAGAGGAGTTTGAGGCACTTTCTGCCTGTCAGTCATGTCGAGCGTTCGGCTTCTAAAGCGTTTTGTATAATGCAGCCTTTCTGAAATCCTGCCAATAGTTAACGGTATTTAACTGAATGTAATTTAAATGTAATTTATTCACAATCCCGTGTCAACATGACCAGGTCACAATCCACCCCACAAATTACATATAATTAGACGGTACATTTTGCACAAAATGAAGCATATTTTAAGACATAAATTACTTAGACATTATTTTCATGACGTTACATTTGAAAGTTGTTGTGTTTTTACTTGTTACTGTGCAAAATATTAATATGTTTACATTATATATTACATCATATTTATTTTAATCAGCATAACTGCAAGTCACTACAATAGAAATGACTTTGTTTGATTAATTTCGTAATTGTTTGTAATAAACATAATTATTTTTTTGCATTGCTGTAATGCAATTTGTGGAGACACAGTGACACTTTGTGTCCTGAAAGTACATTTTGTTTGGAAAATGGAACTCACATACTGGTAAAAAATGTATAGCCTGAATGCACTGTAAGTCGCTTTGGATAAAAGCGTCTGCTAAATGCATACATTATTAAATTATTGTATGAAGCATATCAGGACTAAACAATTATATCATTTAAATGTCAACAACATGGTTTTCGGGAAATATTGTCATACAATTCTATATATTGATACGCAAGAAAACACTTCTTTTATCAGATTAATAGATGTATGTTTAATAGTAAATGTAGTCAATTAAAAACACAAATTTAAACGTTTAAATCTAGATATTTTAGTTTTGAGGGTTTTGTTTGGTAATTCCTATCATAATTAGTGATTCTAATTACTGTACTACAAAAATTAAAATATATTTTATATATATTATTTTAATATTATTTTAATATTTATGTTTTAATTTAATAATATAATAATGTATTAAGGTATTAATACAATAATAAT